AACTCTTTAGTGATGCGGCACGCACTACCGAGCGTGCGTAGAGCTGCGTTCACGATGTGATCCACATGACTGGAGAAGATTAAGGTGCTGTCAAACACTACGCCAAGATCTTTGATTCTGTTCATACGTTCCAAAAGGTCTGTCTGAATAACATATGGGAATACAATGTTATGTGTCTTACGAGTGTACGACACGACTTTCGTTTTAGAGCTATTTATCTTTAGGTCATTCCCCCGGCACCATTCTTCAAAAGCATCAACATCTCTCTGTAGCAAAACACAGTCTCGGTCTTCTCGTACCTCCATAAACATCTTAATATCATCTGCGTACTGAAGAAATGAAGAGTGACGAATCACAGTCGAAACATCATTAACAAAAACTGAAAACAGAAGAGGTCCGAGAACGGAGCCCTGAGGCACACCCGTTGTCGCCTCATAAGTAGCAGAAAAATTATTATTCGAGCTAACAAAGCACTTCCGGTCACGCAAATAACTTTCGAGCAATGAAAGCAATGAGTTGTGAATATCTAGCTTTGACAGTTTAGCCAGTAACATTTCATGATTAACAATGTCAAACGCTTTACTCAAGTCAAAGTAAATCACATCAAGCTGGCCTCTGTTAGCGACGGCGTGAGCAGCGGTTGACATAAAACAGGCGAGATTAGTTGTGGTCGAGCGACCCGCCATAAATCCATGTTGGTTAGGGATAAGATAACGCTTGAGATTGAATGACAATATTTTGTGTAGTGCCACTTCGAGGAGCTTCGAAAATGTGCAAAGAAGAGATATAGGTCTGTAGTTCGACACATTTGTTTTTGGACCGGACTTATGCACAGGTACAACAAGTGCCGTTTTCCACATGGCGGGAAAGACCTCATTCTTTAGGCAGTTGTTAAAAATCTGTACTAGAACAGGAATAAATATGGCACTGTATGCCTTCAAGAGGACTGACGGAATACCATCATGGCCAGAAGACAATGATGGTTTCATTTTTTTTACACACTCATGCAGTAGCTCCTCGTCAAAGAGTGCAATACAGGATGCATTCCCAGAGACAGCTGGCGCGGCAGTAGTTGAAGGGATTGGATGATGCTTAAAAACAGACTGGAAGTGGCGTGCAAAAATTTCACAAACATCTGTCGTCGAGTTTCCCTGTGAGTCCAGCAGGGTGATCTCTCCTCTACCTTTTTTCTGGGACCGAGAGCGAACATACTTCAATAATAATAATAATAATAATAATAATAATAATAATAATAATAATAATAATAATAATAATAATAATAATAATAATAATAATAATAATAATAATAATAATAATAATAATAATAATAATAATAATAATAATAATAATAATAATAATAATAATAATAATAATAATAATAATAATAATAATAATAATAATAATAATAATAATAATAATAATAATAATAATAATAATAATAATAATAATAATAATAATAATAATAATAATAATAATAATAATAATAATAATAATAATAATAATAATAATAATAATAATAATAATAATAATAATAATAATAATAATAATAATAATAATAATAATAATAATAATAATAATAATTTTATTGCACAAATATAAATACAATATATACAAATGCGGGTCCGTCAAAAGCCAATAGCGGCTTGTGGGACTGGACCCGGCAGCGGCGTAGAAAATACCAAAACTATTCACATGAAAACCAAACAAAAGCCATGAATTAATTGAAATGCAAAAAGGAAAAAAAATATTGAAGAATCTGAAAAAAAAAAAAAGAATACAAGCGAAGAAAACCGAACACCAAGAAGGATCTCTTAAAAAGAAACAAGGTCACTATAACACTGAAAGAACAACTATAACACTACAATACTGAATGATACAAATAAAGAAAACCGTACATCATCTAGAATGTCTTAGAGCTACAAAGACAAGGTCAATCAAAAAAGCAAAAACACGACAAAAAAAGTATTTAACAGTCACTTGAAGGAGCTAATGCAGGGGCAAAAATAAGTATTTAAAAGTTTAGCATATTGTTTTTAGCTGTCTCTTTAACTGACGTTTTGAGTTCAACTCTAGAAAGGAATCGGGTAGGGCATTAAAAAGTTCAGGCACATAAAACGAGCGTAATCGTTTTCCATACTTGGTATAAACACGAGGAATGATAAAGCGTTCACAGTTCCTTAGAATACGCTCGGAAACACGGGGGGTCTTAAAGGTGGTAATCCAATAATGCTTCATAATGACACTTCTTTTAAAAAGAGCTGAAAAACGCGGCAAGCACAAAGATAAAAACAGTTCGTCACTTGGAGTATCGAGAGGAGCGTAAGCTACGCCCCTCAGAATTCCCCTCAATATGCTATCAATTTTATTTTGCCAAATCATCGAACAGTTTGCGTAGACTGTGATACCGTAACGTAAAACACCATAGGCTAAAGAGTTGACCACCATCTTTCGAACAGAAAAAGGAAGAAAGGATTTTGTGGAATATAACATGCATGATACACTTCGGAGCCTTTTAGCAACATAGCTAAGATGCGAGTTCCAGGACATGTCACTATCAAAATATAACCCCAAGTATTTCGCTGTGAAAACATATTCAATAGGTGAGCAGCTGCAGCTAGCACACTTTGACGTGTGGAGCACAAATGGAAAATCAAGGCATTTATGTTTCAATGGACTGCAGAAACACATCAGTTTTGTTTTTTGAACGTTAATTTTGATAAGATTCGTTTGAAACCAGTCCATTACCTTTGTAGCGTTAACTTGTAACAGGTTAAGTGCACTGCGCAAATTTATATGGCGGGAAAGTAACAAAGTATCATCTGCGTATTGAAAGATGTCACCACCTGACATCGCCTTAGCAAGATCGTTCACATACAGATTAAACAGTAGAGGAGACAACACAGAACCTTGAGGAACTCCGGCTTTAAGAAATACTTTGGCGCTCTGGGTATTGTTAACAGAAACCCGCTGTGTCCGGTTCGTCAGAAAGTCTTCAAGTATATTAAAGAAAGGACCCCTAAACCCGTAGTCAAATAACTTTTTGATTAATATTTTGTGACTAATGGAATCGAACGCCTTAGAAACATCTAAAAAAAGAGCGCAGGCATATTTGTTGTTTTCCAAAGTGTCGTGTAGCTTATCCACAAAATCTTCGAGAAGTGAATCCGTGCCACGTCCCGGGATAAAACCGTGCTGAGACGGCGAAAAAAGATCAAACTTTTCCAGGAACGCCGTCATTGCTTTTAAAATGTGCTTCTCAAGTATCAAAGATAAACACGAGAGAATAGATATTGGTCTGTAACTTTCTACGCTATTATGTTTTCCTCCTTTGTAAAGCGGTCTGACAATGGCACTTTTTAGCCATACTGGAATGACCCCTGAGCCGATAGTCCCATTCATTACGTAAAGCAGAATACCAGACAAAACGTCGAAATTTCGCCGTAAGTCGCTGATGCGAATATTATCTGCTCCGGGAGCCTTGTTAAGCTTAAAACTAAATACAAGATTACGCAGGTCCTGTGGTGTCATGCTTGGCAAGAACGCTGAGGCCGAGCAAGAGCGGTTCAAGTTAATAGGAATGATATTTTCGTCGTTTGACACACCTGACACGGAAGCAAAGAAGCAATTAAAAGTGTCAGTAACCGATTGTAAGTCGGTTCCGAAATGCTTGGTAATTGCGTCATCTATCGAAGACTTGTTTGAAACTCCTTTAACCTCATTTACCAAAGCCCAGGTTTTATAAATATCAAAACGTGATCTATAAAACTTATTTTGAAAGTGCTGACGTTTTTTGCAGCGAATTATGGCATTTACACGATTTCTACAACTTTGGTATTGCAAACGCAATTCTTTATCGTTCGGGAAACGGCGACATCGTGCCCATAACATATCTTTCTCTTTGATCGCAGATAAGACGTCTGTGGTAAGCCAAGGTTGATTCTGCCTGCGTTTTCTTACAGTTATTGTTTTTACGCTCATTGATTTGAAATCCGAAAAAAATATCAATTAGCTTAAGATACGCATCCTGGTGATTAAAATTTTCAATAAGTATATTCCAATTATAAGAAGAAATTAATCTATCAAACTCACGGAAATCCACGATTGTTGTTTCTTTTTGCTGTTGTATAGGTTTTTCTGAAATACCACAAAAGTTAATGCGACACGCTACGAAGTAATGGTCCGCCAATTTTCGCAAGATTACTGCCGATGTTACAGGTATACCAGAGTTTCTAACGTTTATATGATCAAGGCAAGACGAAACCAATTTATCGGACAGGTGTTCCTCTCGTGTCGGTACATTTATTATGCATTCGATGCCGTAGTTAGCGAGAATATTTAAATAGTCACATACGAATGATCTTGAAGGCTTCATTACGTCAATATTTAGGTCACCCACGATGCAAAGTTTACTGGTAGACGCTATACTTTCTAAATTAGTATTTAACTCCTCTAGAAATTTGTTCACATTTTCTGAAGGTGGCCTATAAACCGAAAATAGAAATATTTCGAAATTAATTTTATTTAACTTCAGCGAGAGACACTCGGCATGATTAAAGGAGACCGCTAAATCTACTACTGACCATGTTTTGTTTACATACACTGCTATTCCTCCTCCCCTCCCTGCGTCACGCGTCAAAAAGAAGCTGTCAAATCCCGGTAAAGAAAACTGATCCTGTGAAACGAAAACCTCCCGAACATTTATTTCGGTTAAAACGAAAACGTCGACAGAATTCTCGACTGCTCGAGCAATCAACTGAAATTCATCCCAATATTTTCTAATGCTTCTTAAGTTAACATGAAGTACAGTGAGCGCACTAGCACTAGGCGGGAAAAGGTCAAGAAACGAAGGAAAGCCAGAAAGTACTACTGGGTTTTCCATTATCATACTATTTTTTGTAAATCCCTAGTGCTAGAGATGCGCACTGCCGTCGAGTTTTCGTCCTTTTTTGCAAAGATAGTAGCGTTCTTTACCCAAACAAATTTGTAGGATTTGTCCCTGCCTTTGGTTCTGGCTTGCCAGAACAGGTCCTTGTTTGTTCTTGTCAAGTTGTCGTTAAAATAAATCTTTGAACGGAACTCTGACCGAGGTAGCGTTGCCAACTTCTTACGCGCATTCATCCAGCGGTCCTTCGTGGGAACCGAGGTGAACTGAACCAGTATGGGAGGGGCCCCCTCGCGCCTAGAGCGCAAGCGGTGACAGACTACCACATCGGCGGGGTTAAAATCCGCGATGTTCAGTTTGTGTGCAAGGTCGGTGATGGTGGCCCCCAAGTCTTCCTCATTCACGTAAGAAATACCATGTATTTCCATATTGCATCGTCGGCTATACTGTTCCGTCGAGTTTATGTTTGTTTGTAGTTGATCGATCATAACGGTTTGCTCAGACACGGTGGCCTGTAGTGCTCCAACTTCGGTTCTCAGTAGTTTAACTTCTTTATCATTCTCTGTCACAAGTTTCATGGTAGATTCATACTTCTTCACAGATTCTTGGAGGCTCCTGATTGTTTCTTTCATCGCATCTACTGATGGCTTCAGGGCAAGGAGCTCTTCTACTTTGGCAGGAAGATCTGAGAGTCGATCAACGTTTGCCTTTAGTGAATGAAGAATTTCGAGCTTGGCGTTTATTTCGGCTAGCGTCGTAGGGACTATTTCGCTAGCAGCTGGTGTCAAAAGTTCACTGGAACCTCCGGCACTCATCCTGATTTCACGATGCCTGCACGTACGGCAGTTCCATTTTTCGCGTTTGGCGGTGCCCATTGATTTGAAAGTTCTGTCCGCGATTCCAGAGCACGCCTCAAGATGGTAAACGTGACTGCAGGAATAGCATTTCATGAAACTTCCATCACCCGGCACTGATTTAAAGCACACAATACAATCAGTGTCACTTGACTCAGACATGGCTCGTTCAGTTGCAAAATTTGATAACACAAAAAAATAAAGATACAGAGATACAAAACGCACTTGTTGCAGTCGACGGCAAAGTTGAAGATAAGAACTAATGAAGCATGGTTACAAATACAGATTCTCACCTGCCGAAAACGACACAGTTAGTATCGAGCCGATGACGGGCCGCCGACTGCGCCGAAGGAAGCCGTGGGAGCTGTTCTTGTAGCGTCGGATCCAGTTTCCCGGATGACGGCTCACCACGTGGCAGCAACAGCGTAGTCGACGAAGAGCTGCGTCAGGTCCACTTCATCTGGTACAGACGGGTGCGAAGATGACGCGCCCGAAGTCCAGGAAACGCGGGACTGCTTTGCCCTGCCGAAAACGACACAGTTAGTATCGAGCCGATGACGGGCCGCCGACTGCGCCGAAGGAAGCCGTGGGAGCTGTTCTTGTAGCGTCGGATCCAGTTTCCCGGATGACGGCTCACCACGTGGCAGCAACAGCGTAGTCGACGAAGAGCTGCGTCAGGTCCACTTCATCTGGTACAGACGGGTGCGAAGATGACGCGCCCGAAGTCCAGGAAACGCGGGACTGCTTTGCCCTGCCGAAAACGACACAGTTAGTATCGAGCCGATGACGGGCCGCCGACTGCAATAATAATAATAATAATAATAATAATAATAATAATAATAATAATAATAAAAAGATGTGATGGAAATTTGGGATGGAGACTGTGAAACGTTAATAAAAAACCGCTTCTAAAAGTTAAAAATTCGCCTAATAAAGTTTTCAATTCAGTTCGATATATTCATTTGATGAAGTAAAGAATTTGACGTTTATTGTGGGATCGGCTAATTCAAATGAAGCATTGTAAAGATGCATAATATATGGTGTACGAATATGAACGTTGTACACGATAGGTAATTACACGTCAAAATCTAAGGGACTTTCACTGTGAGAAATATAATCACGCGACGAAGGTGTATGTACAACCATAGCCTCCTCTATACTCACAAAGCCTGACAGTTCGACGACGCAGCCATAGAGTGTCTGGTCGCAGATTTGGAGCGTGAGGATCTGGTAGAACAGTGCATCAAAGAGCCATTTTTCAGGGAATCTGGACGTCAGCGCACAGCTTTTGCAGCGGCGAGGACCCGAAACAGACTTGTTCGCTCGGGAGAAATGTGTTTCGGCGTCTAGCCGCAGCGAGGCGCCAGTTACATGGCTCTCCTCTGATCCGTTGTCTGCCGCTCCACCTTCTCGTGGCGATCTGCCAGGCTTTGTCAGTATATAGGAGGCTATGGTACAACAGCTTACGGTGAAATAATAATGAAATATATACACCAACAAAAGAAACTTGTTGGCGCGTCACTTTCGCTCTCAATATGACATTTAGTTTCGTCACTAATCCGATGTAGGGACGTTAAAGATTGACAACCGCGTCGCGCATTTTCGCTTTTCTTTTTCACATGTACTACGTTGTAAAATAGCTCACTGCAAACGGGTAAAAAAGAAATACGTGAAAAGTTTTGCGAGAACGTTTTATAGTAGCGTTCTAGTGTCCGCGCTGATGTAGCTCCGCACTGCTGCGCGAACACATGGCTTCGACTTCATTTGCGTCTGGTTTGCGGGCTTTCTCGTGCGAAGGAAGCGCCGAACGAAGCCACGTGCTCTCGCACCTTTTCTCATAGCGACGCTTGTCTTGACAACGTGGAGTTTTCGAATATCAAGGTGAAATTCGCGATAATATTTGACTCTCCATGCAAGCTAAAACAATATATTAGTTCCTTTCTTTTTTTGTTGTTGTCCGGAACACGGTCGCGCGCTCCATCACGTAACCACTCTGTAAAAGTTTAAGGGCTGGTTCAGATAGCACCGGTATCTTACGTTACCAAGCCTCGACGTCCGGTGTCTTACGTGTCGCTTACGTCGAGGTACGCCCGCAAGTCACCGCGGCACATCTGTGCTACGCGTTAAGGAAGCAGCTTGGCACGCGGAATACGAAACACGGACGTGCCGGTGACTTGCGGTCGCACCTCGACGTAAGTGTACGTAAGCTTCGTAACGTAAGAAAACGGTGTTGTCTGATCCAGCCTTAATTTATCGTATTAATCTTTTGACACAGGGAAGTTAGTTTGGCAAAAGAGATGTATCCGCTATGCATGAGACAGACAGTGCGATACGACCGCTAACATTTTTTTTTATAGGTAGCTGTGCTAGAACATTCTGAAGCGTACAAACGTTCTTCAACACACGCACACACACACACACACACACACACACACACACACACACACACACACACACACACACACACACACACACACACACACACAATGTTATATTAAAAATTGCGTTTTAGTTTTTACGTTTTTTTTTTTTCTAAACTGAATAAATGATTCTAAAATGCTTCTGTAGTCGTACCGAATTGGTTCTTTAAACAGTCGTGATCTAAGAAAAAAAGCCTCATAGAGCGCTCATCACACAACGAAAACAAAAGCGTTTTTGTTTTTATTGGTTGGCGAAGAAGATTGGGGCCAGTTTGACTCGTGCGTTATCCAGAACACGATTAAAATAATTTAATTACTTGTTCAAAACTGATCCAAGAGCAAAAGAAAAAAAAAATGAAAGAAAGCAAACAAACAAGGAAGAACACGGAGAAACAACAGAAGCATAAAAAATGTATCGAGCGAAACAAACTAGAGCGTTTTCCTTTTTCAACCACGCCGCGGTTCATTAATTCGTTGATAATTAATTTATTAAGCCTCATTAACGTCGTTTTCAAGCTGCAAAATTTAATTCATTTGCACTTTTTTTTTGCTCTTGTTTTGTTTACGTTAGAGAGTGTCGCCATGGCTAACGGACGCTCAGCTATTTACATTCTTGTGCGCTCGCATCTTTTGTTTCTACGTATTTCTGTTCTCGGTTTCATGGATTGATGACGATCGGCTGTTCTGAACCCTATCCCAAATAAATATAATATTAGTGAGTAGAAAAAAAAAGATGAGATAAAAATGAAGACTGGAGAAACCGAGAAAAGCATGCAAGCAAACCAAAACTTGATTTTTGTGTTAAAAAGAAAATAAAAAGATGTAACAGTACACGTGGGCATGGAAAGAGGGGGAAAACCAAAAGAGAAAACAATCATTCTTAACTCGTTATCTCGCCTGTTTGGCGAAAGAGAAAGACATTTTTTTAAACGGCTGGGATTTTTAATCATGGCTAATGCATAATCCCCCGACGCTTCCCAAAAATTTACGGTCGTCCATGCTTCTCGCGCAAGTTTCGACGCGCGAGCTGAGATGTTTTGACCATCGCGTGGCGACGAACGCTCACTTAACTTTCATACGGGTATATGGGATATCGAGCTAGTCTCCCGTGTTTGGAATAGTTTACCCGGTAAAAACTATAGGAAGATGTCTGTTTTAATTTTTTGACTGTGCTGTTAGAACAGAGTTTAGCAAAGGCTGTATACGTGCGTGTGGGAAGCTCTGGAAAAGCGCTCCCGCTGCGCGAAAGCGAGTACAGACCTTAGAAATGCGGTACCATGCATGATAAGGGGAGGTGTGCTGGGGAGGGCAGAAACCATTAGAGGGTGCCACCTGAAAAGTGTCGTCTTTATGTGTTTGTGCGTGTGGCAAGTCCTTTGTTCGCTTTTCGATTCGACGAACAGTCGCGTGCTGGGCTGCACAGATTGCAAGCCGGGGTGGGGTGTTCGTGTGGTCAAGCAAAATCTGCAGACGGATAAAACACAGGAAGGCCTAAGCGCCCCCACCGCAAACTGACGCAAACAAACAAACAAGCAAACACACAAACAAACAAACAGGAACATGATAAAAATATTATCTGCTCGTCGTTTTGGAATATCTTCGAGGTGCTCTAAATGCAGAGTATTTATAGGACCTTGGTGACATCACAGTGTCACATCATAAGCGTGACGTCACGATGGACACTACACGCCAGGCTTGGACACTTAAACCGTAAGAGATGGCCCTATACATGCTAAGCATTAAAATAAAATAACGGTCAATGGAAAACGAACAGACCAATAAACACATGTCGTGAACGCCGTTCCTACATCTTTTTTTCCGTATACCTAGCCGACGCTTTACGTTTATAGAATTCCAACTCGTGGTATGTAACACGCACTCTCTGGTCTTGCGCCGAAAATAAAAGAAAACAATAGATACAGAGCCTAAAGCCTGGAAGACAACAGTCGAAATGTACGATCACTTTGTCGTCTTCCGTCTTGTTATGCTGAGATGTCAGACGCATTCTCAGCTGACTTTTGGCGGATTACCCGGCTGTTGATTACCGTGGCAAACGGCCACTTTACTTCCTCGTCAATTTTCATATATTTTAATGGCGGCTGCCAGACCTCCTGTTCTGCGGGCTGAGACACTACGCGAGTGGCGATGTATCGCATTCGGTTTGTTGAAAGGCCAGAAGCAGACTCGCGGAGACGTCCGAGGAAGCGTGTCGTCGTGTGACGGCAGTATTCGCTGGTCGGTGAGGCGACGATCGTACCACGCCTTAAACTCACAAAAGCAACCCCCCCCCCCCCCCCCCCCCCCCATATATATTTACATCTACTGCGTTTGACCTTCGCACGATGTCGGGTCAATACGCGCTGTACGCGTAACCAAGCATGCGGGGCGCGTGCGATTCCGTGTGCCTCGTGTGTTTACTGTGGACGTCTTCGGGGGAGCACGCGGTTGTACTTCTCGATTAACGGGCGCTCGGTCGATAAAGGGGCGCGCACTCTGAAACATCCAGTGCGTCAACCTTTCCGCAAATCATTTGGGGATCGCCGTTGTCTACGGAATGAGGGCAAGACTGAAAATATGTTTAAACATCAAAGTAGAATAAAAAAAAAAAAAAAAAAAAAACCTGCGCGCCCCGACGTTAACCGTGACGTAAACACGCGAAACGCCATGTTCTTTGCCACAGTGCAGAGAACGTTTTCTTTGGGTCTAACCATATTATCAGCCCCGTCATTCGCCGAGCGCCCTCCGTAGAATGCAGCCATC